CGGGGACGGCGCGGCGGGACGCGCCATAATATAACATTTTAAAAGAGAAATATATTTCTGGATGCCGGCGGCTCACAGCTGTAATCTTATCTACTCAGGAGACCGAGATCTGAGCATCAAAGTTCAAAGCCAGCCCAGGCAGGAAAGTCTGTTGAGACTCTTATCTCCAAGTAATCACCAACACCCTGGAGGTGGAGCTGTGGCCCAAGTGATGGAGCACTGGCCTTGAACCAAAAAGCTAAGGGACAGCGCCTATTGTTGGAGTTTAAGCCCCAGGACTAGCATCAAAAATTAAAAATAAAAATAAATAATAAAGAAGAAATATATTTACTTTGAATTCTACTCTTGGAATCACACTGGAGAAATTCATTGGGCTGTTTAATTTCAGAGCCTTTCAAATGGTAAGCACAGAATAATGCTGACTTACTGGGGTCTTTTCACATTTTCTTTGTTTTTGTGGTTGTACTTTAAAATTTTTGTTCTTTTTTTTTTGTAAATAAAATGTATAGATGTGGGAAGAACCTAAGAAGTACTGGCTAGTGAAAATAAATTACCAAACCCAGCCACACTAGATAACAGAATATTAAACAGCAGAAAGGCTATTTATAGAAAAGATTCATAAACTCCAGGCCCCTGTGGCTCACTCCTGGAATCCCAGCTGCTCAGGAGGCTGAGATCTGAGCATCAAAGTTCAAGGCCAGCCCGGGCAGGAAAGTCTGTGAAACTCTTATCTCCAATAAACCACCAGAAAACGGAAGTGGTGCTGTGGCTCAAGTGGTAGAGCGCTCGCCTTGAGCTGAAGAGCTGAGGGACAGTGCCCAGGCCCCGAGTTCAAGCCCCACGACTGACCAAAAAAAAAGTGCTTATAGTGGTCCAAGTATGCAAGAAATTTGGGGTACTTACCTTCCAAAGTCCTTAGATGAGATACTTACCTCATACCACACAAAGCCACTCACAATGAATTAAAATGAATCCGATTCCTAGAAGACATAGGGTCTTGGTGATGATTTGTTTTTATATGACACCAAAAGTGCAGAAAACCAAAGCAGAGGTGAACCAGGAGGCCGCGTCCGGCCGGGGACTGCTGCCTGCAAAAGACACTGCCAACAAAGCGGGACGCGCCGGACCAGAGAGGGCGTCTGCACCCCTGTCCCCTGAGGGCCGTGGGCGGCACAGCCCGGCCGCCGGATGGCAGAGGCCCGAGAAGCTGTTTCTCCAAAAAAGGCTTGCACGTGCTCTCCGTGGGCAGGCCACAGAGATGCCCGTGAGCTGTGACCCCTGCACCTGCTCGGGGGCCGGGGGCGCGGGAGAGGTGTGCTCACCAGCGGTGGAGTGGCAGTCGGCCCAGCCATTGTGAACACCGGGTGAAGATCCTTGGGAAACCAGACCCAGAGTGCCTGTGTCCTCCACAAGGGGAGCCCCCAGGAGGAGCCCCCCAGGAGGAGGTCAGCATCTCCCAGAGACAGCTGCACGCCATGTTCAGTACAGCTCACCCCTGTAATTCTAGCTACCTGGGCGGCAGAGATCCAGAGGATTGCAGTTCCAGGCATCCCAGGAGACAGTCCACAAGACCACATCCCCGCCAACTTAAAAGCGCAGCGGACGTGCCTGTCACGCCGGGTGTGTCTGAGGTGCAATAGGAGATGGTGTGGTAGGCTGCACTGAGACCCTCTTCAGAAAAGACCTGAAGCATAAGGGCTAGCGGCGTGGCTCAGGCGGTAGAGCACCCACCCAGGGAGTGCAGGACTGGAGTTCAAGACTCAGCGTTGAGGGAAAACAAAAGCAGTGTTCTGAGTGTAATAAGTCAGCCGGACACAGAAGGACAAACACTGCATCTTCTCATCCACTTGTATGTGGATGAGTCCTAGAAGCAGAGAGAAGATCGGTGGGCCCCGGGCTGTCAGGTGGGGTGGAGGAGCTGTGGGTCCAAGTTCACACTTGGGTCATCAGATGAGCAAGAGCTAGTCAGTGCTCGGTACTGAGTACTAAAGTGTGCACACAGGTAACCTCCATGTGTGGGAGGGACGTGCTATTATCTTGATGGTGGTAATTGTACTGCAGTGTGTAGGGTATCAAAACGCTGTGCTGTACACCTTCAATTTCTGTAATTTGTATCTAGCAAAGGAAAGCCGCAGCCGCATCCTCCGTGGTACTGACCGCTGCTGTCGCGGATGCTCCTGTGTGGGCCGTCTCTTCAGCCGTTGAAAATTTGCATATTTATGACAGTGCTGTGAAATCACTTTATTTTTTCCAGTTATGTTAATGACGTAAGATTGAAAGTTTCAAACCAGGCCGGTGCCGGTGGCTCATGTCTGTAATCCTAACTGCTCAGGAGGCTGAGAACTGGGAGCCCGAAAACCGAAACTGGCACTGTGGCTAAGTGGTGAGTGCTAGCCTTGAGCTGAAGAGCTGAGGGACAGCGCCCAGGCCCAGAGTTCAGGCCCCACGAGGGACCAAAAAAAAAAAAAGCTTCAAACCAAGAATGAAATGTATCTCTTTCAAAAGAAGAATTTCAGGGTCTCATCGCTCTGGTCCGTGTCAGATCTGTGAAGCCTCCTCCGTGGTTCTGGTTGGTCCTGGTGAAGGGAAAATCCCAAAAGGGCCTAGAAGTGATGCTGGCAGTATTAAAATACTGGCGCCCGCGCCGTGTGCTGCTGCCCTCGGCGCGCAGTGCTACACAGCACTACAGTAACGCATCCGTGCAGCAATACAGTGCTGTGCTGGCCCGCTGCGTGCGTGGCTGCCCCACGGTCCCGTGGAACTGTGTGGGTGAGGGCTGTTCTTGGGACTGTGACGGCTTCCGAGTGTTGGCCTCCGTGAGCTGAGATACAGCTGCACACCGGGCCTAGGCAGACGGGCATCATGAGGCTGGTCTGGCCCCCGCTGGCCTCCCCCCCCAGGCCCCAGGCCTGCCCTCGGTAGCCGGCCCTGGCACCTGCATGCCCAGGTAAAGTCCCAGCAGGCTTGGCTGCTGGAACGCAGCCCCGCCCCCAGGAACGTGTCCTCGCCCTGGGCCGAGCCAGCCAGAGCAGGGCCAGGCTCCTGTGACACGCGGCACTGTCCCACCAGCGTGCGTTCGGGCGTGCAGTCAGCCCCGGGCAGTTCCGTGAGACCCACGCGGGAATGGGAAGTTTTCCTTGCAAATTAACTTCTTAGAAAAAGTTGTCACTTATTTTTCTGCAGGGATGTGACCCTAGAGGGGTAACATGTCCAGCTTGTCCTGTGTCCAGCTTGGTGGAGGTGGACAGTCCCTGGGGTCAGAGGTCAGTGGTGAGGCGGGGGCTGAGAGGAGAGAGCCTGTGTCAGGTCAGGTGATTGTGCTGCGTGTGTGTGCATATCTGTGCCCACACTCAGCTGGAATGAACTCAGCGTCCAGTGCTCACCTGGCCTGGTCTCGGCCCACACTCTACCACAGACCCCTCCTCCGGGAGTGAAGCTCCCGGCTTAGCCGCGCTTCTGAATTTGTCTCCTCAGTGAGCGGACGCCTGGCCGACATGGCCAGCCCTGTACAGACTGCAGCTCTTACTGGGCTGGTCTCCACAGGCCAGCCAGCAGAGCGAGCCCACCCCTCCTCCCCACACCCCTGCAAAGTGCAGACCACCCCTCCTCCCCACACCCCTGCAGAGAGAGCCCACCCCTCCTCCTCACACCCCTGAAGAGTGCAGACCACCCCTCCTCCCCACACCCCTGCTGAGCGAGCCCACCCCTTCTCACACCCCTGCAGAGTGCAGACCACCCCTCCTCCCCACACCCCTGCAGAGCGAGCCCACCCCTCCTCCCCACACCCCTGCAGAGCGAGCCCACCCCTCCTCCCCACACCCCTGCAGAGCACAGCCCACCCCTCCCCCCACACCCCTGCAGAGCCAGCCCACCAGCTTCGGCCTCCTCTTTGGGGCCCTCAGTGAGGCGGGATGTCTGTGTGGCTCTGCCTTCCAGCTCCTCACCTTCATCTCTGTGCACTCTCTCTACTTTGACATTTGCAATTTTTAAGTATTGCATCAAATATTGCATGTGGTTTTCTTGCATATCTGCATCTTTCTTCTCCTTTGAACTACACTGCCACCTGTGGCTTTTTGTTGGCTATTGAACCTAAGAATATCTCAGATTTGTCTACCCAAGCTGGCCTGGAGCCACGGTCCTCAGATCTCAGCCTTTGGAGTAGCTAGAGTCACAGACAAGCCACCAGCCCTGGCTTGGGACCTTGGGCGTTAGGCCCTGCTCCAGGGTGCGTGAGGGTTGGGAGTCCTTCCTCCTCTGTGCCCTTGGTTGTTTGGTAGACCTCGGGCCCCTGTGGTGTGGGTCACATCGGGACTCGGTGCCAGCCCGCAGGGCAGGCAGGGCAGGGCAGCCTTCTGCACAGGCCGGAGGAGCAGGCTGGGGTCCAGTGGGAAGTATTTAGCACTG